GGCCGGATTTTAGTAAAGACCCATCGCACTCAACCAGTTAAAACAATCAATTTTTCGAACCTAAATAAACAATCCCCCTCAGCACATCCATCGAACAGCAATCCTAATATCAAAATCCCGCAATCCTCTCTGCACAGCTCCCCGTTGATCCTTTTCCTTTTATTTCTCCGTTGGTCAAAATCTCAACCGTCTCACCCCTTCCCCATCCAGGTTACACGCCCACGCAAGGGCCGGTATTTCGACAAACGTCGAACAGAAACAAGGAAAGGGAGCAACGGGCACGAAGAAGCGAAAGCGAACGGAAAAAAATAGAAGGGTCCGAAAGAGGCAAATTTTTCGGTGAAAAGGGACTCGCGTTTCACGTGGCGTACGTCATCGCGCATGCACATTCTCCCGTGCGATTTCCGGTCTCGCCCGATATCAGCGGTGTGCTTCGTTGAACGATGGCCCCTCACAATGAACAGAGAAGGCCGCGCGCGGCCGTCTATCCGCGGCTGAAAAATATCAAGGCCGTAACGGGGTCCCGTTCCTATGGTATTCCGAGTGGCTGCATTTGGCAGCGGTCGACAGGGGGCGTTTGAGCGATTCGGTTTATTTTCGGGTCAAGTTTTCGCCCGACCGCTTCGCAATCAACCGCCGCATTGTCCATCGGACAATACATTCGCTGCGACGGACTGGCGTCCACGTAGGAATTCGACGAGCAGCTCACGCCCGCATCCTTGCAACGCGTCCCTATCCCCGCTTCATCGTACGAGCGACAAGTCGTATTTTCACCGGGATTTTCGGAAATTCGATTTAACTGGCGTCGAGCCGTTTCCCGCCACCAATGACCACCTGATCCTCAACGATTGATATTATCAGGCTCTTGGAAGATTTTGAGAAAGACTCTCTGTGTTTTTTATCACCGTTAGAACTACACGTACCGACAGTTTGTATATACCTATACTTACTGTGCCGAGTTAAATAATTAGTTATGAAATAAAGGAAAACAAGGTAAACGATAAATTTTTTTATTAGAAATAGAAACAGAAGAAAAAACAAACATTGAATTTTGAATTAAATTTTAAAACCTGTCATTCGATCGGTCACGCTACATTTAGTGTTAAATTTAGCTGACGCAATCTTTTTAGTAAAAAGAACTCATCATCTTAGCGGTGTCTCAGACAAATGAAATTTTGTTGAATGTATGAGATACGAAAAGGTTAAGAGAGCAAAATGTTGATTTTTGCTAATATTTGTCTGCTTGAAGTGTCAACATCTATTCTATAATATTTAAAAAATAATTTCAATTGGATTAGACTTTAGTGTGTGTTTATTTGGCAGTCAACGTGTTAATGATGTTTGGAAATTATTGAACTCAGGGAAAGCAGTCCCTGGAAGGCACTTTTTGGCTAAAATCATGTCACAACTGTATTACCTTTCGTTTGTAACGACTTTATAGTTTCGGAATTGAGTCTTTGAGAGAATACTATTACAAAAAGGTATAAATCGTTCTATCAAATGACCGGTCGTGGTAGGTAAGACAGACTACAAATTTTTCTCAGAAAATAAACAATAAAAAAAGAAGTGAATATTGAAAAATATATTATACGTATATTTGAGGAAAAGTTGTTAAGTTTAAAGGCGATTCAATTACGTTGTATATAGGAAATTCTAATCGAAATTTGGAAACGGTCATTTGACCGGTCGTGGTAGGAATAGTGTTAACTACGGTGACACTGATAAAAGAATTATTACTGTAAATAGAACCGTTTCTCTTTTAATGGCCAGGAAACTCTAGAAACGAGATTTCTCCACCTATTATCTTACGGATTCAGTTATACCATCAGATTTATACGTTAACGATTTCCGGTACTCGAAATCAATTACTTGAATTAATCCGGTGATTCGTTGAGCCTGATAATAAAGACAGAATCCGTCTTTAATCGCGAAGAAAAGCTTAACAACTTGGTAAACGGGAGTAATTGGATCCTTACGTAAGAGCGTCGTTGTGCTTACGCGAATATAAGCGTAATTGAATTCTCGATTGAAATGCGGAACGTCACTCGTAAACAGCGAATTGGTTGCTTCAAAACGAGCCAGTTTATATTCCCCGGGAGAGCTGAGCAGGATGGCGGCCTCTAAACGCGTCGCAATCTCATGAACGACTGAGCAAAGATCTTCAATGATTTCCTGAGAAAGCAGACTCACCCGCTATGATTCCCTATATTACTCTTTCGCCATTTGGTATGCCGAGTACGCGGGCGCGCTACGACCATCTCCAGTTCTGTGGTAGACAATACTTGTTCCCATATACGCGTTACCATTAAGAAGTCAAATTAAATTCACTTAAAAAGTTTCGTCCGATCTGAGTTCCCTTCCTCGATGTAGTAGGAACGCACTTATGTAATCATGGAGAATAGAATCTCAAGTCTGCAGAGAATTTTCCTAAATATCGTAAGCAAGTTCTTAATGCAGTATGTACAATGTAAAATTTGTTTCTTGTCAGTGGTGGATGTGAATGGGTGGACAATTGCAATTTCATTTTGATAGTTTCTCGTATTTATGGGAATGTTCACTGCAACCATTTTTGTATGTTTGATGTAAAAGCTTATTAATTCGAGAATCTTTTTATTTCAAGTTTAATATAGACGAAGCAAAGAAATATTCACTTTTTCATTATTATGGTTTAAATAAAAATCAATTGTAGAACAATGTAATAAGTGTTTGTTAAATAAAAGAAACTATAACCTTTTCAGAAGATCACTATTATCAATTTCTTTCAAACCAACGTTACTGACAACATTCAAAGAAACAAGTTTCTAAATTACGTCTAACTTTCTTCAAAGTTATAAACATGTAAATTTTCTAAAAAATATACATCGACAGTGAACATAAAATGAATCTTTATAAAAATAATTATTGAAGAGCTCACATGGCAAGAGTTTAATCAACTGTAATATTCAACCTTGCCCAATGATTCTATAATCTTAAAGAAATCAAAGAAACACATCACTTAAACAGGAAAAGCTGCAAAGATAATTATAAAAGTATTTTCAACTCAATGCTTCAGCTTTATGAAAACAAATATCTCAAAGAACCAACAAAGGTGTTTAGAAAAACACATTTAACACATAGTGTCTTTATATGGTAATTTCAGTTTTTTAAAAGTCCTACCAAACTCTCGAAATATGTAAAATTGCACCGCAGTTTCGCAGAATATTTCGTACACAGCGCGAAGCTCCGAACGCGTCTGTTAACGGTTCCAAGCGAAACGAATTCCCAAGGTACACGTCACTTTCGTCCACCTCGATCCTTTAAACCCTATTCTTCCATTTACCGACCGCATTGTAATTCCGACCGATCAGTTTCGACCGTGGTAAGTCCCTACGTGTCAGGAATGTCAAGTTCGACACATAAAATTGGCCAATGCGGCGCGGAGACAGTAACCGTTCTCGGCTTAACGTATCGTCAGCACGTGTACGGGGACATCGGCGTCGGCAACGTCTTCGGAATCGGCCATTATCATGGCAGTCACATGAACGATCGTAAATAATTGGTATCGGATGCTCATTAACTAAATGGCCCTCCCGGAATCGCACGGACGCGGTCGAAGAAGAAAATGACGGTGAACGAGAAAACGAACACTGGCTAGACGTATCATCCAGCCGGATACTCGGGCTGCAACTTCACTAATTCCGTATCCTCCTAACAAAGCTTCTTAAGTAGCAACCATTCGTTTCTACGTGAAACGTGACTCATAACTTTTAACGGGCTCTATCAGTGCCGTGACGAACGCACAGCTTGAAGGGAGAAGTTTAATTCGAATAAACATCCTTTTGTTTTCTTGAAACCGACCGCTTTAACTTGGATGTGCGCTTTACAGATTACGTTGTTTATCTGAATCTGTTTGCATTCTGCACTGCTGTCATTTTGTCTATTAGCACAATCACTTAGGTTTGCTACTGTTCGGTCTTGTGTAGTGAGTCGGGTCTCTTTGTTTTTAACTTGGCATGAATTGGTAAATATCAAGTAGTAACATTGTTTGATTTTAATAACTATACCTTAAGTAAATTCGGACTTTCTCTTTGTGATTTGGAAATGGTATTATTGAAAATACTTTTGATTGTTAGTAATATTATAATGTGCTTGTAAAGAAACTAAAAATGTCACCTTCTCATTACATTTTCTATATATCACTTAATTATATGAAGAATTTCGTATTGTATGTATAAAATCTGTAGTATCTGCAATCACAAATTATTTGAGATTTTGCGGCCCTGTTTACGGTTCAATGAATTTTTCGGTTCTAACTACAGCGACCAGATCAATGAGTTTCGAGGGCTTTCCATTGCACCCTGAGTACACTTTTTCCGAAGACAGGGTACTAGACGAAAATTCGGTGCCCGGAAAACTTCTCCGGTAACTCCGCACGAGACCACTTGACCTGAGTTATATTAATTGTCGCTGAGATTGATTAATTTGGAGTTTAAAGACAAAATGTCTAAGGGGGGTAAAACTGATCTCGTAAATGCCAATTTTGATAAAAGTTATATGAAAGATAATTTTTTAAGGATTGATTAATACGCATAATTATTTAAATTATATAATAAAGTATGATAATATAATAAATGGTACTTTTTTAGTCATTTCTTTTTGCAAATATTAATTGGTTTCTATACAACTTCGCGTACGTAATAGGAGATGCATATTTCTGAAAATTTTACGTTGATGTGCAAGATTACTTATAGACAGAGAAGCACAAAAGTGGAACAAAACAATGGAAACACTTGAAGAGTTCCTGCACCAAAGGTATCAGAAAAATCTCACTAAACATTCCTAAACATTCCCAGGAGCATTTAAACTACATTAAATTTTAGTAGTGGTCTCAGGCGATATTAATAAGGAATTTTCTCAATACACAAAACCTTTCCATTATTATGTTCAGCTTCTACATATTCAATCCCTAAAACTCTAAAAACCTACCAGTAACATCTAGAAAGATATAAGAAAAGACTCACAGTTCAGGTATAAAAGGATTCCAGAGACGAAAACGAAGACAACAAAGAGCAAGAGCAACAGCAGCAACAGTATAGTCGGCCTGCACCAAGGGCTTCCAGTCATTTCGGTCTGCCTGCCATCCTTGGCTCGTTTCTGATCCACCACGCTCGACTCACCGCTGACATTAACAACAACCCCTTTATACGGATACTGAGGCGTTTTCTTCTCAGCCAGGAAACCGTGATCATCCTCGGGATCAGAATAAACACCGTACGACTCGAAATTATTCTTCCTGTACCCGTTCATCTTCTCAGCGTTGGTCTCCTCCTGATCTTGCGTCTTCCTCGCGTAACCGGCCGCGGACGACGTGGAGCCCAACTCTCCAATCTTCAACGTCTGATCGTACGATTTATCCGGATATCTCGACGAAGACGTGGAGCAATCATATTTAGCCCGTTCGTAGCTCTTCGAGCTGGTCAGCTCGAACTTGGTGTCATAGTTCTTGCCAGCGGTGTCGTACGGTTGCTCCTCGTACTCGTACGATCTCGGCTCGTAGGACTTGCCTGTCTCGTACCTGGGCAACGTGCCGTACATCTTGTTGACGGAGTGGTACTTGCTCTCGTATTTGCGCGCAGCTAGATCCTGCTGGGCGGCGCAAGACAATTCATAAGCCGAGTCGTGCGTCTTCACGCCGGACTCGTAGCCCTTCGAGGCAGACGTGGCGGCGGCGGCGGCGGGCTCGTACACTTTCCCGGAGTGATGGTGATGATGATCCTTCTTCGGCTCGAGTTTCAGCGTTTCCTCCGCATATCTGGACGCGTACTCGTAATCGGTCAAATCTCGAGAATACCGCCTGGCAGGCTCCTGGAGCTCCGCGGGGTAAGTCCTGGTGAGCTTTTGGGCATCGCTCCTCTCGTAGGGCGCGTCCAGGTCCGACTCCTGATACGTCCTCTGATCCCCGCGGCGATCGTACCTCAACCCGTCTTCCGGATAAATTCTGTTATCGTATCGGTCAATATCCTCCCTGTCATACGGGTTTCGCTCGTAGCTCCTGTATCCCCTGGACTGATCGTGGTAGCCGGTCTGCTCGTACGAGGACAGACCGCTGCCCGGCTGGGGATCCTGATAAGGCTTCGTGTCTTGGTACTCGAGGTACCGGGAGGACCTGCGCTCGCTACCATAGTCCATCGAGCCCTCAACCACGTTCGGCAGTTTGCTGCTTAAATTCTCACCGGTTCCGGTGGACAGCGCCTGACAGGTCTCCGCATGCTCGACCAAGTTCGGCAGCCGCGATAACGAGCTACCTGGAGTGTTCTCGGTCAGGTCCAGCTTCAAACCGTTGCTGCTCGTCCTGCGCATCTTCGGTAATTCGCATGATCGATCCCCGTAGAGATGAACGACCAACGACGGCCGTCTACTCGTTCACCTCGGATCAGGAGACGCGGCGTGGATCGCGCCACAAGTTTGTCGATTCGCCTTACGGTGGCGGATTGATCATTTCGGGGACGGTTAGTGGGCAGTTGTTAGTTCGGCGGGCGAGTACCGATCTGGAAAGAAGAGAAGAGAGAGAGGGTTAGTCGAATGTTATTCGTGTTAGTTGGATGGAATGGCCGGAGGTTGTTTAAAGTAGGTATTTGAATTATTAAAAAGTTTACTTTAGAAGAATTTTAAGCGATTAAAAGTGCTTTTAATTCAGGGCTTGAATTTTCATAGGTTTATTCAAAACTTCATTTGGGTTGGTTGATTCGAATTCGTAAGCGTTTTCTTGGAGGATCGTGGAAATTAATTTGTTAGTGATGTTAATTCAGATACATTTCGATATTGTCTATATTACACAGATTTATTAGACTTTTCTTAACGGTAAAATAATTTTATTATTGCTGATTTGTAAAAATTGTCATTTTCAAAACTTGAACACTTTTCGAATGCTGATTTTCTAGATTATTCACTTCAAAGCAATTCATTTCTCCACAAATTGACTAACTGTTTAAGAACACAAAAATCTCATATACAAATTCTTAAACTTTTTACAAAATTATTTCCAACGTATCTTACAAGCAAGTATCTTACAGCATTATCTTCCGTTAGAACTTTAAACCAGCAGATTAGTAGATATCGACAAGGTTCTAAAAAAAGAGCGTAATATGAAATAGTCAGCAAAGTTTTCATTTTTAAAATAAATTCTATCAACTAAAAGGTCTTCACTTTTACTCGAGCGAAACGCTGCAACGAAATGAATTCGTGAAATTTCACGAACAGTGAACAGTACAGAACAATTTCACGCGCAGGAAAGTATGAGCACTGTTTCAGCTGAAATTCCAGAAATTCCATAACCGTGTTGGAAACCTTGGTCAATGTAACATCGACGTTTTTTAATTAGAGCTCTGCATTCCGGTGCTGCGTGCCTAAGACGATTTCCCAGGCTCCAACCGCGCGTTCATCTGTAGCCGGTTATCGATATATGTATCTCAATACAGTGAGTTCGGAGCCGCAATATTCTGTAAGCGCTCCTCGAGACTGCGATTACAGCCGTATGCTCGGCACCTCACGAATGGTCGATATAACAATGACGACGATAATACTCGATCGTGCGTGACCGAAATGCAACGCTCGTTGCGGCCGACGATAATACCAGTCCCTGAATTCACGTGCGCCGACTAAATTTCAAGGGAAAGCGAGGCCGTACATGTCAAATAAAATTAACATTTCGATCCGTTCTACGCCCATGTACCGCCCTTTCTCGAGGAAACGGCCATTTTCTTTCATAACGGATTGTAACACTTCACACCCAAATGGAAAGCCTGGATATTACAAATTTAAATTAGTGCACTCGAAACTTGACAGCATTCCGTTTAATATATCGTAGAACTTATATCTAAAATTTAGTTTTATTAAAGCGTGTAAAATATACGTGAGGTAGCTTTAATTGTTTTAATTTCGGCTTGTTTGATCTGCATACATTTTTAATAAATGAATATTGAAGGTTGTATTAGCAAACTTACTTGCGAATGGAAATATGGGAGAAATATTTTTGGCGATTTATCGTTATTATGAGAGTATAAATGATGTGGGTTTTAAACTACACTGATTATACTTTTTAACTATAAAATTGAAGAAAAATTTCAATAGGTACTTAAGTAGCTGAAACGTGTCAAATTTTTTGTATACCAGTAAGTACTTAAAATAAAAGGAAACGTGATAGTCGGAACTTCCTCAAAACCACACTTCCTTCTTAAGCTCTGAAATGTTTTCTGAGATATATTCTTTATAATTCTATTTTCAACAAGAAATTGAACAAAAGAAATTTTTAAAAATTTTAATTGAATTAGTAATCGATACGTTTAATGTAATCCTTATTCACTGATTAAATTTGCTCGATAATTTCCAGACTCCAATAATGCAAATCAATTACCATTTAGAGTTTATAATACGACGACAATAGATGTAATAATCGGAATGGTAATGAATTGATTATTCACTGAAATAGAATAGCAAACTAACGTCGATATGGCTTTTAAACTATACAATATCTAATTTAATTGCATAAACATAAATTATATTTAAAAATAATACATTATTGTCTGCATGTACATTTGTCGCAATAAAGACGAAGTTTCGTACTAAAACCGTATAATTCCTTTAATAAATCCTTGCATTTACTTTCTTTAAAAACAGTGAGTTTCATTAAACAGAATTTTGAATTCTTTCATTGAAAAGAATAGACAAAGTGTCCTACTTGTATTGAGACTTAATTTTCCTAGAAAAATATATTCGTACAAAAAGCGTCATTCCAGGACTTCGAATTTTATTAACAGCAGATTCAACAAAGAAAAATTGGTGAAGAAAAATATGAATAAAACTTATTACATTGCTGTTGCTTTTTTCTTTAAAGAAAAACACCATCTATTATTATCAATCATTTTTATATATTTTTTTAATGAAAAGAAATACAAATGAAATTCGTTATACCTTTACGACCATTTATCATGGTAACAAGTTTGTAATGTAATTTACATTCTCATGTACCAACTAATAAGAAAATTTTGCACAAATTTACAGAAACATTCACAACTGTATATTACCTATTCGTTGACTTATTTACGCCCATAAAATTGTCAATGTTTGATACTCTCAATCGATAACGGAGTGTCGAGGTATAGTTTGAACGCTTTCGTATCGAGAATACGGGAAAGCTGGTAGCCCTTTGTCCGATCGATAATTAAGTAAGCATGATTGCGGGGAAACAACAAAATGTCACACGGCCAGAAGTTTCGGCCGGTGCCGCCCGGCAAGAATATCGCTTCCCTGTCGTTGCGAAACTTCTCGAGCAGTGTACAATGAGTGCTTCGCAAACAGTGCCCCGCTAGAATGGCGTTTATCTTTCATTCGTACGTATCTTACGTGAAATCCGCGCTTTTCATTAATATATAATGCCGTAATCTAGGCCGTGAGGCACGGCCGGCGCGGTGGCGTTCGCCGATAAAACGAAACTTTCTTCTTTGACGTAATTGAAAATCTTCGCCGTTCGAGCGATTACTCGGAAGTTAAGGGAATTTTCCAATCGGGATCGCTTTGGTCCGTGTTCATCTAATGATGAAACAAAGTGGGGCCTGCAACTTTTTATAAAATAATGGATTTTCGCGGACACTGTGATTGATTAATTTATTTATTTATTCATTCGCAGTTAATAAAGTCATTTTATTGCAATGAATACATATCAGAATTCATTACAAACTTTCATGAATAACAATTGTAAGGAACATTGAGGAATTAATAAACCATCAATAAACTATAAAGCGTAAGAAAGGAAAAAAAAATTATTTAATAAGAATCTTGAACTAACTATACAATGTATAATATACGACGTGTACTTACTGTTAGTAAAACTAGAGTACAGAGATGACATGAAATTTCAGATGAGGTTATTAAAAAATTCGTGAAGTTCAGTTTATGAATTTATCAGTGTGCTTGATTTAATATTTGGTACATACTGGATTTTATTGAAACCAGTCCCCAAGTGAAAAAGTTAATTTTGCTTTTGCCACAATCAGGTAAGGTACGTTAATGAAGAATGGCCAGTGTTCGAACTCTTTGAATGAAACACT